TAATAATCATACAAGTAATAAAAATACAAGTAATAATAATAAAAAATGTAAGCACAAAAATAAACACGCTTTAGATAAACGTATATCTATACTCAGACCAGATAAAAATTAACAAGAGTAACAATAATATTAATTACATAAATTAAGAATCAAAATTAATTAAATAATAACTAAAGAAATAAACAAAAAAAAAGTCAAATGTAAATATAAATGCTTTAGATGAGTGGTTCTCAACTTGTGTAACCCACATTTGTCCTCGGTCATTAAGTCACGAACCAAGTCGCACTGCAATGTGGGCTGCTGTGCTGTGACGGAGCTCCATCCATATGTGCATTGCTTGTACAGCTCCCATACGCGCCTGTAGAGGTGCCGGGAACCAGAATTTGATGTTACTCCGGTCCAGGCACCTCCACAGGACAAGCGAGGGAGCTATAAGCAATACATGTATGGATGGAGCTCCCTCGCTGCCATACCCCCAACCCACCCCACCTCAAGCTTACACTTGGTGCCGAGCAGCATATATTGAATGGCTGCTCGGTGTGAAAACTGACAGCGCTGCGCTAGGGGGAGGCTGAGGAGCCTCTCACCTAGAAAAGTGGAAGGCACGTGGCGACCCACTGAGCACGGGGTCGCGACCCACCAGTTGAGAACCAAGGCTTTAGATAGATGTAGGTCTACAGCAGGGGTCAGCAACCTTAAACACTCAAAGAGCCATTTGGACACGTTTCCCGCAAAAAATGAAAACACCGGGAGCCACAAAACCCTTTTGACATCTAAAATGAAGATAACACTATATATATATATATAGGTTTTTTTTTACATTTTATGCTAATTATATAGGTATATGTGGGCTTAGTAACGCACTGGACTCTGGTCTTAGTAACGCACTGGACTCTGGTCTTAGTAACGATTATTCTTTGTATTATTATTACAATAATATTAATGATAACAATAAATACATTTTAAAAAAACGAATCTTAAAACAAAAGAACGATTGCATAGAAGAACATGTTACATTTCTTTCCTTCTAGTCACCCATCACGCTTGGCTTTGTCTGCAGCCTTATTTCCAGGCAGTATTGATCAGTGGTTACATCCAATCTAGACCACATCAGTTTCAGATGCCACAGATAATGTTGGACTCGTGTCATCCGCATCTGTCTTGCTCCCGTCTCCGTCCATGCGTGAAAAGGTCAGAGACCGGAGCTGAATTGTCCTACACGAGCCGCTATAATTGGAGCTTCTAATTGTACTTTAATCAATTCTGCTTTACAAGTCTGATTTGTTGTCGATGAAAAGCCAACGTGTTACCTCCTCGCAGCTCTCCAGGAACCCGGCCAGTGTTAAGTGCTGTCAGAAAAATCCTCTGCCATAGGGCGGAATCGATGGCCGAATCGATGGCGTTTGTTATCTTAAAGCCATTGTTATTGATGCAGTTGGAAATTTGGTAGACAGCTGACACAGCCCATTACTATGCAGACACACAAAATAAATGCATT